GATCATTTTCAAGAAAATGTTTGAATATTATAGTGGAGAATCAGAGTAAAGAAAATATGCAAAAAGTAAAGAGATAAGGGAAAAAAGATGACACCAGAGATTTATATAGGTTCAGTCTAAATGAAATGACCTATTCCTCTCTCCAAGAATTGATCTTGAGAGTTTTCAATAATGCTCATGAGCTTTTAGAAGGTTAAGCTCCTGAACCCCCTTATACAAGGAAAAATAAAATTTCAGGTTTACTTCCAACCAAATAGTGAATGGTGGAATGAAGCAGTTAGTCCTCACACCAAACAATAGACAAAGCTTCGAGCAATTAATTTCCAAATTAAACCAAGATTTATATGAAATTATCTCGAACCAAATGAGAGTTTTGAACTAGCTATCCTCTGAATTGAACAAAGGTTTTACATGGGCAGACCATAAATTGAACTGATATTTTACACCAGGATGATCTCGAACCAATTTGAGCTTTTACACAGAGCTAAGCTCAATAATCGATAAGTAAATTTTTTACTAGTTATCTTCTAGAACCCAGAAAAAGAGTTTTTTCTTAAGCGGTTCAACTCACGAGACAAATGAATACTTAATCCTAAATCCCCTCAAAAGATATTTTAACAGGTTTATCTCCAAACCCAAACAAACATTCCTAAGAAAGAAATATTCACTCAAGAGGAACAATAATTCTTGGTTAATTTATAATATTATCCTTTCCAAAACAATTTCCTCACTCAAACATAAGAACCTTTCTCAAAGCACTATGGCCAAATTTATGTAATAGAAAGTGAAAATATATTAGAGAGAGAGAGGGGGGGGGGGGGGGGGGAGTGATAAATATCATGTTTCTGGATGTGAAAATGTGAAAGGGAATGGCTATATTTATAGGCTAAAAGATGTTTCAAAGAAGAAAATGATCCATGAGCAAAATTAATTGTACATTTGATTAAGTATTTATTTCAATCGATTAGATGACCTAAATAATTAATTATTTGTGTTATTTTGGAAAGTTTTGATAGAGAGTCGTTACCCTTCATTAAAACACTATCACCATCAATTATATAGTCGATTTACTATTTATCTAATTGATTATGTATATGATCCAGTCGATTAGACAATTCAAAAATAGGTTATGGCTAAGCTCCAAAACAATTGTTGGTGATTTTCTTTGAGAAATATAGACTTTAAGAAGAGTTTTAGTGAGTGTGTGATTTAACCGTATTATTTTACAAAAATGTCATTGTGTTTTTATAAAAGACTGATACTTATATATATAATCAAACGAGCTTTTACACTTCTTCTCTTTCACATTTTAAAGCTTCAAGACTTTTATCGAATAAATTAATCACATAAGCACTCCACTTGAATCTTCTTTGTCTTACAAAATTTGGGTAACTAATAAGATTTGGATAATTTATATATACTTCCTTTGTCTCATAAAACATCTCTTATTTGAGCAATGCATGATTCTTAAAAAAATAATTAATATTTTAATTTTTATGATAAAATTAAGATTACTTACCAAAATATCCTTATTAATTATAATTAATAGACATGGATGAGAGTAGGTCAGACCGACCTATAAGGGCCTTTAACTTAGCCTATTTAAGGTCAGACCTATTTAATAAAAAAATTAGGTTTAAACTTTTTTAAAAGCCTATTTAGTTAAATACGTCAGACTTAGAGTATTAAAAAAAGCATATGAAATCTTATACGTCGGTCTATATTTTCATATATATTAAAAATAATCTAAATAAATAGGCTGACCTATATATGCATATATATTAGAAAAAATGTTAAATAGATTGACCTACATATGCATATATATTAGAAAAAATTCTAAATAGATCGCCATATATATATATATATATATATATATATATATATATATATATATATATATATATATATATATATATATATATATATATATATATATATATATATATATATATATATATATATATATATATATATATATATATATATATATATATATATATATATATATATATATATATATATATATATATATATATATATATATATATATATATATATATATATATATATATATGGGTAATGTTAACTTGTGCCCTTGGGGCACATGTTAAGAAAACCACTTATAGTAAATTTGCATTGGAAAAAACGATTTAAAAATTAATTTTATACTTTAATTAAAGTTTATACACAATTTCCAAGACAATGTTTCTTAATTTAGTTCTTAACATGTGCCCCAAGGGCACAAGTTAACATTACCCTATATATATATATATATATATATATATATATATATATATATATATATATATATATATATATATATATATATATATATATATATATATATATATATATATATATATATATATATATATATATATATATATATATATATATATATATATATATATATATATATATATATATATATATTAATTGAAAATTTTAATAAGAAACAGACTTTTAAATATGTTTTTAGGTTAGACCATGCTTTTAAAAAGGTCATATTAGATAAAAAAAAGAGCTTATAAAAGACTATAGGCTAGATTAAGGCCTTATAAGTATATTGTATGTCAAACTCAAGCCTTCTAGATAGGGCTGGAAATGAGTCGAGTCGAGTCGAACTCACCTCAGCTCGGCTCGACTCGTTAAGAATTGTTCGAATTCGAGTTCGAGTTCGAGTTCGACACGAACTTTTTTTTAAGCTCAAACTCGACTCGTTATAAGTTCACGAACAGTTCGGTTCGACTCGTTAGGTTCATCTCATTAGGTTCAGCTCACATGGTTCACGAACTTAAAAACTATTTTTTTAAATATATATATTTTTTAGTATATTTGACATTTTAAATAAATATAGGCTAGATTAAGGCACAAGTTAACATTACCCTATATATATATATATATATATATATATATATATATATATATATATATATATATATATATATATATATATATATATATATATATATATATATATATATATATATATATATATATATATATATATATATATATATATATATATATATATATATATATATATATATATATATATATATATATATATATATATATATATATATATATTAATTGAAAATTTTAATAAGAAACAGACTTTTAAATATGTTTTTAGGTTAGACCATGCTTTTAAAAAGGTCATATTAGATAAAAAAAAGAGCTTATAAAAGACTATAGGCTAGATTAAGGCCTTATAAGTATATTGTATGTCAAACTCAAGCCTTCTAGATAGGGCTGGAAATGAGTCGAGTCGAGTCGAACTCACCTCAGCTCGGCTCGACTCGTTAAGAATTGTTCGAATTCGAGTTCGAGTTCGAGTTCGACACGAACTTTTTTTTAAGCTCAAACTCGACTCGTTATAAGTTCACGAACAGTTCGGTTCGACTCGTTAGGTTCATCTCATTAGGTTCAGCTCACATGGTTCACGAACTTAAAAACTATTTTTTTAAATATATATATTTTTTAGTATATTTGACATTTTAAATAAATATATATTTTTTAAATAAAATATTAAAATAAAATAAAAGTTATCATATTGATATTTAACCTTATCTTCGAAATCTACTAATTCAAAACCTACACAACTTTCAAGAGATGCATTTGAGAGTCTAATTCAAAAACTACTAAATTGAAGATTAAATTTGTCTAAGATTTGAAGTAAATATTTAAACCTAATCTTAAAGACAGTATAATTCTTTTCATATGTAATCGAGTTGACTCATGAACCTAACGAGTCGAACTATGTATAGTTCAAGTTCAGCTCATTTAGTTTACGAACTTAATTTTTCGCTCATACTCAACTCATTTGGTTCATGAACCTAATTCAACGATTTAATTGTCGAGTCGAATTCCGAACTATCTTCGAGTTGGTTTGGTTCATTGCCAGCCCTACTTCTAGAGCCTAATTTAACTAATCTATTTCTACTCCTATTAATAGAGTAATTGAATAAAGTAAAAAAAATAAGGATATAATAGTGAAAAAATAATAATAAATACTATATTAGTATTAGTTTTGTAAAAGTACAATTATTTTGACATCAAGAAAAAAATGTAAAGGAGACATCAAGAATAATATTTTTAATTAAAATAATAAGTAAAGGTATTTTTTATTTTAAAAAACTATAAATTTGAAGTTATAAACTATCTCATACACTTTCTTTCACACCTAAAATTTTATATCTTTTGTCGGATAAACTAATCAGATAAGCATTTCACTTGAATCTTCTCCGTCTAATTAATATATACTTCTCCGCCTTATAAAATTTAAATAATTAATAAGATTTAGATAATTAATATATACTTCCTTCATCTCATTGATAGTCCACGGTTTTAAAAAAAATAATGAAATACGTTGATTTTTATGATAAAATTAATATTATTTATCAAAATATCTTTATTAATTATAATTAATATAATCTTTAAATAAAAAAAAAGAGTATATTAGTGAAAAAATAATAATAAATATTATATTAGTATTAATATTGTAAAAGTATAATTATTTTGAAAACAAAGAGTACAAATAAGTTTTTTTTTATGAAACGAAAGAAAGTGATATTTTTAATTAAAATAATAAGTAAAGTTTTTTTTATTAAAAAACTATAAATTTGAAATTATAAACTATTTCAATTAAGTTGTTAAAAAACGCTATAAATAAGTAAAAATAGATTATTACAAACTCCTGAGTAAACATGTAGTAAACAAAATTCCTTTTAAAGATAAGAATATATCACAACCTATAAATCATTGATTCCGATTTGACAGCTGTGGTATGCAGTAACGAGGGCAGGACAGTGCAGCATATTCTGTCATCCAACCACTGTAACCTAAACCCAAAACTACAACTACAACGGCTCCTATCGTATGCGCTGACCGAGTCACTCATAAGTGTAAATGGTTGGCAACGTTATAGCCGTTACGTTCCATATATACTCATTCACGCTATTGCATAACTCCGATTAATAAACCCTTCCAAACACCAAATGGACCTCAATTCATTTTCCAGCGGCGAAGAAACCATCCCAACCCCGCGCCGCGCCTCCTGCTTCCCTTGTTGCTTCACCTTCCGCCGCTCCACCTCCGACGACTTACCATGGTGGCAGCGCGTGCAAAACACTTCCTTATCGCGCGGATTCATGAAGATCCGCGAGTGGTCCGAGATCGTAGCTGGACCGCGCTGGAAGACGTTTATTCGGAGGTTCAACCGGAATAAAACCGGAGCTGGAGGTTACCGTCAAGCCGGGAAATACCAGTACGATCCTTTAAGCTACGCGTTGAACTTCGATGACGGACACAACGGGGATTTAGAAGATGAATCTCCGGATGAGTTTCCTAAATTTTCCGATCGTTACGCAACGGCGCCACTTTACAAGCCTGGTTCCACGGATTCGGTATAGAACGCCGTCGTTTCGAGCTGAGAATGAAGAAAGATTGCAACTATAGAAATTAGGGTACGAACTCGTTGATTACGCGAGACTTACCGTGATTCAAAGCGTGACTTCATTTTTTAATTTTTTAATTAAGAATTGCTTATAGTTTTTTTTTTTTTCACATGTACATTTTCAATAGAGAATATTTGTGTGTTCGGTTTGGGTTTCCAGAATGTAATTTTTCAGCATATATATTTTAATTTATGTAAATTCCATATAAAATTTCATAAATCATGGTAATCACTATCGTGCCTAATTTTAATACTTGTGAAATGTGGCGGGTACGTCTGTGACTCTTGAGATGTGTTATCATGTTTCTCTCTATTACATTACCAACCAAATTTATTGGTTTTTTATTTTCTTTCTAATCTTTGTCTTTTAAAATAATTTTTGTCATTTTCACTAGTTTAAAGCTGTAGGGTGATCAACCAAGTTAACAAGTTTTTTTTGATTGTGACTTGAGGCAAATAGATAAGCTTTACTTGGGAAGACAATGGAGCAACTTGCGTAACTACATCACCTTCTTTATAATGGCGTGGTTTTGAATAGGTTTCATTTTTAAAACCATTTTATATTTGGATTGCTTTGATTAATAATTGGTTTGCACTAAAAAAATTATTTTGTTTGGACCAATTTTAAAATTAAATTTTCCTTAAATTTATTTATACTAAAACTTAATTCTTAATCTAACTTATTCTTAACTCCATCCAACTATTTTTGAAATTAATATCTATTCATTGACAATAAATTAAATTGAATTAAAATAATTAGTAATAATTATGAAAAAAAATGTTAAGGAACAGTAAAAAAAATATTTAATTTCAATTAAAAAAATTAAAATTGAGTAATTACAAAATACTCAATCTCTCTCAATACATATTATTTTTTTTTCATTTATATAAAAATCTTTTTTAACGGTTTTAGTAAAATGAATTTGGATTAATTTTTAAACTAAATAATATGGAATTTTGAAATATATGCATTATATTTTTAAGTGTGGTTCTTGTGAACCGGTTTTTTTGCACACCCTCTAATAAGTTTTCTTTATTTTTTTTAAAGACAAACATTTTTATCTAGTGTGATTATTGCAAAGATTGAATTGAATAGTTAGATTAAGATAATGTTTGATATAGGGTTTTTTTAGGTTTTGTTTGGATTAATGAAATTGATAAGAATAATATGAGATGAAATGAAATAATATTTTATTGTTTGGATGATTTAAAATCAAATGAAATAGAGTATAATAAAATATTTAATTATATTCTATCATTACTTTTCCTTCAATTTATAAGGAATGAAGAATTTGTTTTATTCCATACTAAAATTTTCAAATTATCGAATTGAATCTTCCATTCTGTTGCTTTACATTTTGGTATGCTCCGTTCTATGTAAATGTTTTTAGGGTGAAATGTAGCTTTTTGAAGGAGTCTCTTTAATTTTAAAAAAATATATATTTTTTAAAATAATTTTATAAAAACATTTGTAAAATATTAAAAAAATTTATACTTATTTTTTATAAATAAAAAACTAATTTTGACATATGTTATTAAAAATTAAAAATAGTTGAAATCGTAATTTTTCAAAATCTTATATTTCAAAAGTGATTTTTCTTACAATTAAATAGATTTTTAAAATTTTGATAAAAATTATAATAAAATAATAAAATATCTAAAATAATACTTACACTTATTTTTCTTTTGAAATTTTTATTAAAAAATTATTTTTAATTTTTTTAAATAAAAATATACAACAAATATAAAAATTATTTTTAAAAACGATAAAACAAACATACTCTATATCAACCGAATAATATGCAGAATGAGTCAGTACAGGGTCTTTTATGTTTAGATCAATTTACCTCCCACCTCTAAAAATAGGCAATACAATGATTAAATTTAATTTATATAAAGATCTTGATTTCATACAAAAACCCTTTGCTATTTGGGCATTTTTTATGCTTGAGAAAATATTAACTTCAATGTTTGTGCCATTCTTTTCAACTCTGGAATGATAAACATTGGTTGTTCAAATGGACTAAAATAAAAATTAAACTTAGATTTGGAATGTCGATCGAAAATTCTTATTGCAGAATTAGTCCTGCTCTTAATTCCTATAAACTGCTGCTTTCTGTTTAGTTGCTATACTCATTTCCTCAATTTGTTTGATACTTACTCATCAATTTATGGCGGCATTATTAATATTTGAAATAGTATTGCTTAAAAGGTAGGTAGTATTCCGAAAATAGAAATCAAATGCATGGCAGGGAAAACATATACCCAACATGTTGTATAATGGGTGCCCATGTTCAAAGATTGTTTCAGTTATTCAATTGCTTAAATTAAAAACAAGTTTGTCTCCGTTTGCGGGGCATGTAATTATGTACTAAAAAGCAAAAATTTCCCTGCAGGTATGCAGACATGATGACAGATAAGCTGTAGAAATCTGATACTACTGGTATATGATACGATGATTAAACTCTCGATCATGTGTCAAAAGATATGGATTTGTCGTCTTCGTCTTTCAACGCATTTGTGATGAGTGCCACTTGACTCATATTTAGCCTATCATTTGGAGAAGGATTTATGCATTTCAATGCCACCTGCAACAAGTTCACCATCCTCTCTTCCGAAGCACCTTGTGAGATTAAGGACCGGTCAAAAACTTCTGCCGTCCATTCCTCACTGATCACTGAATTCACCCATTTAACTAGATCAAATCCATCATTTTTAACTACCTTCCCCGTCAGGAGTTCGAGAAGTATGACACCAAATGCATATATATCAGCTCTGAAGGTGGCCGCTGGAGACATATTTCTGTTTCTGAGGCTTTTTCTATGATGAGAAATGACTCCTTGGTTTTCAGCCACCATTAGGCCATATTCGCTTATTTGCGGATCCATATTCTTGTTAAACAGAATGTTACTAGATTTTAAGTTACCATGTGCTATTCCACTCTCACCAAGCTCCAAATGCATATAGGCCAAAGCTTCAGCTATCTTTACAGCAACATCTAGTCTGCTCCTCCAGTCAAGAGAGTGTCCACTTTGAGATCCTGAAGTAATCAAAGGTGAGTTCAAATATTCAGTTACATTTATTGTTTGAGGCTAAATTTCAATTCAAGCATGTGTATTTTAGGCCAACATTTTAGCTGAAAGCAGATTCTGAACATGTCATATATATTGAAAATAGTTTTAACCAGAATAATTAGCAACTTACCATAGAGCAACATGAAGAGGCTACCATTTGGAAGATATTCATAAGCCAGAAGCTTCTCTTGCTGAGAGCAATAGTACGCAACAGGTGACATTACAAGAGGATGCTTCACTTGAGTTATCAAGTTCATCCTTCTCTCAAAATCATGCTTTGAGATTCCCCAATCCTTGATCCTCTTAACAGCCAAAAGCACCCCATAATCTAGCATAACCTTGTAGAGGCTTCCGTGTTTTCCTCTCCTAATCAATTCAGCGGGAGCACTTAACAAATCCTCGAACTGCAATCCCCTAAGCTTTCTACTTGAAAGAAGAACAAGACCTGATGTAGTCACTCCGCTTTCCATAGAGGTCATAGAATATTCCGATTTAATCCCTAGGCCATTAAACCAACTCTTTGATCCATTGGAATTCAATATCTCACTAAGCTTTTCACCACCAACAACAAAACTAGTGTCTTGTGACATGTCCTTCTTTTCAACATGGTTTAATACTTTTTCTTTGTCTTTGGTCCTGAATTTTCTTAACAACTTGAATATCAAGAAAAAAATGAAAATTATACCAAGAACTATGTAACCTGAATAAATTGGCAAGTCATCTAGAAATGCATTTTTATTTTTGTCTTTCTTAACAGTTTGAGTAGGAGGAGGAGGTGGTGGTGGACATGAAGAGTTTGAAATTGGTTTTCCACATAAATTATGATTACCATAAAAACTATCTGCACTAAATATACCTTTAACATCAGGAACAGGACCGCTCAAATTGTTGTTAGAGACATCAAAAGCTTCAAAGTTTGAGAAATCAAAATCAGGAATCTGACCAGTGAAGGCGTTGTTTTGAGCTAGAAAGGATATCAAGCTTGTAACATTAACCATATTCGGAAGATTTCCGATGAAGTGATTGTCGGAAACATGAAGGCGCTTCAGGTTCCGTAGTTGAGGAATGGAAAGAGGAAGATTGCCAGAGAATTTGTTACCACTAAGAAGCAAGTGTGTCAAGAACTTGCAGTTTTTTATATCCTCTGGTATAAAACCATGTAAGTAATTGTTGTTGAGGCTGAGGAATTGAAGATTGCTAGCAATGCAAAGAGAAGTCGCGTCTAGAACACCGGTGAAGTTAAGTTTTTCAAGAACTATGCTTTTAATGTATTGGTTGTTTGTGTAGCAAGCTACGCCGTGCCAGTTATGAGTGCAAGGATCTGATGTGAGGTTCCAACCCCATGTGGAATCCTGATGAGGTGGTTCAAGTTTATGCATGAAGGTGACAAGGGCTTTTCTGACATTTTCTGATTCTGAATTGGTCATTAGCAGAAACAGAAACAGAAAAGTGAGTACTGTCCAGAACCAGATGAGGTTTAGACTCATTTTTTTGCAGTGTTGTTTTGTTGGGTTAATAGTTAACTCTCTTGTTCTTGAACTTGAAGTGAGTTTGATAATGAATCAAAATAGTGAAATGAAAAATAGATGACTAAAACTGAATTCGAAAGAGTAATGATGGATTAAAAATAAGTATAATATTAAGTAATGAATGAAGGTCAATGATGACATAAAGCCATTGTACCCAAATCGCTTGATGAATGGCATGCAATAAAAAATCTTGTGATGTATTGTGATTTGTGGATGGCATTGACATGAATGAGGAACTATGGAAATGAGCCAGAGGGCAGAAAATTATGATATGAGTTTTAGAAGCTGCCGGCATTTTGAAATGGTCATCGTGTCACACTACTAAATGGCCTTTTCGTTAAAACTTTCGTGAGGCTTTTACACAATGATTTTTTTTTTTTGCACATTTTTTTACAAACATAAAACTAGTCTTTTGATTATTTCAACTATAGCTCAAACTACTTGAGCTATTGTGGATGGAAAAAATGTAGTTGAAAAAGACAGCTGAGTTTAGGGGTATCAAAATGAATGTATATGATAAATATGAATTGAATTGTTAATGAATGAATTAAGACAATTCATTAATTAATAGGTATTATTCATTTCATTTTTAGTGGTGGAGAAATATCTTATGAAAATTCAAAAATATTTTTTAATTTTGCTATAATTTAGCTCGGTGATGCATAATAATCCTATATGTATGGATGTTAATGGGTATCCAGATATTTACAGAAACCATGAATACTTATTCCTTAATATTTCTTAGATATAAATAGAAATTTATGTGTATAACTTTTTAAGAAGAAACAAGGAAAGTGGCTATTAATGAAATAAATTTATTAAGTATAATAATTTTAAAGGACATTGAAGTAATTTTTTTTAATAATTATTAAGAAATACGGGTATCTGTAGCTCTGGTTTTCATGACACGACCACTACCGTAATTAGTGTTACTTTCTGATTTCTAATATTATCCTATAATGCTTAAAAGGAAGGGGAAGATATCGTAAACTAACCAAACTCGCAAATGTTTTTTCTACAATTGCTAAGAAATTTGGAATCGGGGTTGGTTATACTAAGGAAAACTATTAACACCCTGAGTATCTATAGTAATCTATAGGAACCTTAATTGTATATTTCTAATGTTGAATTACTTGCTTGCTTAGGTTTTCTATTGTTTTTGGAAGGTATCTAGACCTAAGGGTTTCATTAGTGTGCTCGCTAAGATCTCACAATCTTATGCCTACATATTCTCAAAAAGGAAACTGAGAAATCAAAGCGTTCGTAGTTCCTCCTAATCTATGGGAGGAAAAAGTTTGTTTTGTATCTTGTTTAAAGCTCAAGATGATGAAGCTAAAAAGAGTGTTGGAAAGATTTGACATATTGTCATCTTAAAGGGGGATATTTCACCTATTCACTACAATCATATGAGAATGATGTCATAAGGGAAGAAAGCTTTGAACCTATTGTGTTTAAGCAATGTCACTTTTTCCTTTATGAATTCTTTACATACTAAGAGAGAGACCTTAACTTGGATATAGGATCGACAAGTGTGTCATTTACATCAATTAGATGAAAGAAAAGTTTTTGAACCATGATAAGAGAGGGACTCCAGTTTGAGTTTGGAATCAACAAGTGTGTCACTTACATCACTTATATGAAAAATAGTTTTTTATGTTTGAGTTAAAATGTAGTGATTAGAAGAGATGTCTTCCTATAGAGATGACTCAAAGTCTCATATGTGAGGAGATTGATTTACGTATCTTGATTGAAGCCCAAGATACAAAGCTACTCAACTGGGGAGTTTTACCTGTCTTGTACAAAGCCCAAGATTGAGGCTGATTGACTGGGGAAATTGTTTGTGTAAAAGCCTGAGAGGAGGCTAATTTGAAGAGACTGACTCAATACTGATGATTTGATTGACTCTTTTGGGGATTTTATTTGTATCTTGTACAAAGCCCAGGATGAATGAGGCTAAAATAAGTTATTTGTATCCTGTACAAAACCCAGGATGGTGAGGCTAAAAGATTTTGTTTGTATCCTGTACATAGCCCGGGATGGTAAGGCTAGAAGATTTTGTATAGATGACTGAGACATGACTTATGCTTTTAAGAAGTATGAGGGTCCTTGTATGAAGACCAAGAGGAGGCTGTGGGGAATTGAATGAGACTTCCTAAGTCTCCTTGTATGAAGCCAAGAGGAGGCTAATCTTGTTGGGAGATTCTTTGTATGATGCCCAAGAGTAGGCAATGATGCTTGTATAAGGCCCAAGAGGAGGCCAGGGAACTAGTTGTTTGAACTAAGTTGTGATTGAAGGGATCCTATTGTTTGACATATGTCTAAACTAAGGATGATATAAATATCAATAGAAACTTAACAAAATATGAAAAAACATGATTGAAGATTTATAAATATAGACATTGATATGACATGTTTAGATTCATGGAAGATTTTTGCTTCTGTAGGGGTTTTATGTGTTGAATGCTTTATTTGTGTGTTTATTCACAAAGGTATTGGGTCTTACACTCTAAGCAGAGGCCTAGGATTTATTAAAAAGAAAGGAAAAAGTGATGGGTCTTACACTCTAATAGAGACCCAAAATTTATTCTATGTATAAAGGTGTTGGGTCTTACACTCTAATAGAGGCCCAAGAGAGTTTAAAAGTTGAATGCCACTAGGGTTGTGTTTGATGGAAGTTGAGGATTGAGTTTTGGAAGATTAAAAGTTTTGAGAAAGAGAGAACAGACTGTCATACCCCAAATTTGTCCTACCTGTATAGTTTTCACTTGTACATCCATCTACTAATTATTACACTCAAAAATCCAAAATATGTTGCTGTCAAAACTTAAGTTGATACAAAGGTGAGTTGGATTTCGGGCAAAGATACCGGGTTAAGAATGTGTATGGTAGTGCGTAAGGTTTGTCTTGGTTTGACCAAATTGTGGTCAAACAAGGTTTGGTTTTCTGATAGAGGCCAGGATGTGCTTTTATTCAAGTGTTGAAGGTCGGAGCTTTCAGCTAGTGTTGTGGGGTTAATTTAAGGCATCAGTGTGTCAAAAGTTGATAGTCATCCGAATCCTTTCTGTTCTGTAACTAAGGTTATTGTGCAAGGTATTTTGTGGATCATTTCCTTTGATTTCAAAATAAAACCTAATTCAAGAGGTTTATAACGAATTTTATCAAGATTTAATTAAGGTTGTGATCCATAGTAAAGGTTTTGATTTCTCATAGTACAAATGAAAGTTTAAGGACGAATTCTTCTTCTTTAAAGTATTTACATGGAGTTGTTCTCATTTAAGAATGTTGTTGTATTATCTGAGATCAAAAATTGCAAAATCAAGACCTTAGTTTCAAATTTATGATGGGGGTGCAAGCACTAGTCAAGGCCCAATTACAAGAAAAAAGAGAAAAATTCACATTTTGCATTAGGCCCATTAATGTTTTACAAGAATCAATTAACATTCAGAATTAGCACAAAGAAATTCATGACTACACGGTCCAACTTCCAAAAGAAAGAGCTACAAGTTACAAACAATTTGAGCTTGAAGATAATAAAAATACAATTCAATTGAAGAATTGCAAGATACAAAATACATAACAGCCGTACATCCAAGAAGAGATAAAGCAGAAGAAACTATATTCACAGCAATTCCAAACACCAGCCGACCACAACTTCATAGGACCTGCACAAAAGGACAACTTGGCTTGGACCCCACTGTATGGTACCAGCTACCTATTCCAAAACCCGCAAACACTCTGCCAAAGACAAACAAAGCTACACACCAAACTGCAAATACGTAACATTACACTCGCAGCCTACACCTCAACATATGGTACGCTATGTAGCAGTACCCAATTTCCGCAGGAAGCACGCGTTTGAACCACACATTACCAACTGGACTTCTTTTGACCAGCACAAACCGACAAAACCTGGACAAGGACCTGCAAATGGAGCAGCAAAGGTACATTACCACATAATTATAGCCAGCCAATACAAAGAAAAAAACAACACAATAAGACAAGGCTACACCCAGCCATGACCTGCAGGTTGTACAACGACGTCTCAAATGATACATCGAAAACGGTGCAAAGCGGATGGAAAAGAGGACCTCATTTTCACACAACAACATCACTAACCACAGATCCCGCTCGACCCAGCTGGAACCTCTTCCTCAAACGACCCTCAACAATCTCCCATCTCAACTTCATTTCCTTCAATAAACCTGACACCCTCGATTCAATAATTTTAACACTAAAACAGTTTCAAAACCGGATATCCGCCTTCAAAAAAGCCACTCCTTTCAAATCTGTTAACCCCGAAAACCTTCAAAACCCACCACAAAACTTATTCAACCTGCATAATCTCGCTCAAAAAAAATCTCAGATAGGAAACCTCAAACTTCCTTCAACATAAACCCCAAGAACACCCTTCGCCATCATCACACCATAACCTTCTTTCTTTCAATCTTCACACATAATCCAAAACTTCAATAACCCATTACCTAAACCATCTCTTCACTCAAATCTCGAACCTTCATCGTCGATCGAAATACATAAATCCTCAACTTCGCCCTTCACCCACAACAGATACCCCAATAACCGATAAATCTCCCAAACAGAACCATAAAACTGCTCAAACTATCCATAATAATTTTCTTCTTCTTCAAATCCATAAACCAAACAACAATAACAGAATCTCAATTTCTTCTTCGCAATGCAACACTCATCGTCATTCAACCAAATAAATCGAACAAACCCGTTTTCGTATCCTTGTTGTAAACCCAGAAAGCCAACCCATTTCTTCAATCTCCAACACCCAAACCCTAAGTTGATTTGGAACCCAATCGAGACCACACACAGTCTTCATAAAAAAACCATAAGCGTCTTCAGAAACAGAGTTGTTTTGAAAAAACAAAGGAAGGAGTTGAGTTGAGATAAACTCGATTTGAGACCCAAATCGGAAGAAACGGAAGCGAGAG